CAGCTGCACGACCCGCGGCGCCGAGCAGCAGAGGCGGCAGGCTGCTCGGGACAAGCGCAAGCAAGCGCTCGTCTGCTGGCCGAGGAGAAGGAGCCGGAGGGGATCCCGCCGAGCTGGGCACTGCAGTGCCAGCCCCATTTGCTCCCCGTCTAGGATCAGCGCTCCCCAGGCCACCTCGGAGAGGGCATCGCTCTGGGTGCAGGTGAGGAAGGGGACGTCCCACCAGCCCTCCTCCATCTCCCGCCCAAAGTCCCCCTCGGCTTTTTCCACTATGGCAACGCAATACGCCAGCTTACCCAAAGCGGCACCGCAACGGCGTCGGGGCTTTGGGCTGATTTCTGAAAGAGACCTGCAGGAGTCTCGCAGTCTAGATGAGCGATGATGGATCACCACCAGGCCAGCCTTCCTCGGCCACCGGAAGCAGGGCTTGAGCCCAAGCCCCGCTTACTTTGCGTTCAAGGAATTAAAGTCAGAAGGGACCACCAGATCACGTACTCGGACCTCTTTTCTATTAAACTGCACTCAGCTATCCGGCACAGCAACCAAAACATTTTCTTTGGGTGAAGTATAATTCCCACCAGCCCCGCAAACTGTCTTTAGGTAAAGCATGCAAACCCAGTGAAAACCATTCAAACCAGATCAGAAGAGATGAAGAGATAAAGAACCCCTCCACAGGGGGACTTCTTCCCTCCACAGTTAGTTCCCGCAGTTAATCATCCTCAGTTACACGCATCCTGTTCCAATCTGAATTTCCCTGGCTTGAGTTTCCATCCATTGGCTCTTTTTCTGTTTTTCACTGATACGTTGAAAAGCCCTTTGGCAAGCAACAAGTCCCATCGCATCCCCCAAGGACACATGCACAGTCAGAAATCAAGGCACATTTCAAAATTTGTTCATTTTTCTAAATGAAAGCGCTTGAGCCCCTTTCAGTCTCTCCCTGTTCTCCAACGCTTGAATCATTTTTATGGCTCTTTTCTGGACCTGCTTGAAAGTGCAGTCTTCTGAAAACAGGCGAGTTTGTTTAAATATGTGATATTCCAACGCTGAGCAGCATCCTGAAATCACAGCCCCGTCCGCGTTCATTACTCCCTTGTTTGTATACTCCATTTAGCCTCAGCAGCATCCTGGGAGCTCAGGCTGAGCTGCTCTTCTGCTAACCTAGACCTTGGCCAGGGCTGCCGCTTGCTGGGCTGCGGCGCCCCGGCTCGGCAGGGACGGACCGCGTTCCTCG